CATTTTTGCCTTCTTATTCATGGTTTCCACTACTTTACAGCAAATGCGAATTAGGCTAACGTGCCGATAATTGATCACACTAGTTCGAACTCCTCCCTCACATATCGGGTATAAATTTGTGGTCTACCATTTGGATGGCCATCTCCTTAATTCAAATGACGAACAGAAGAAATGCACTAGCGGTTTTGAGAGCTCGCTTACCAATTCCCTCAAGAACTTGGCCGATACATTGTCTGGACCGGACGACTTTGCCTCTTTGAGGGGTTACAGCTCTATTTTCACTAAGGATGTCGGAACAAGAAGGGCTTCAAGCGCTAGGTCATCGTTTATAATAGCACTGTGGATATTGGAAAATGAAGTTGGATTCACTTATGAAAACCGAGGTAGAGAAACGGTAACAGTACTCGGCTTTCTCGTCCGTTTCAACGAACCTCACGCAATTATCACTTTTAAGTACTGTGACTGGATCCTTTTTTGAATCGACTGTTAATATGGCGAGATAACATTTTGGGCTGATTTTCAGCCTGTCGAATAATTCTTGCTTCGTAATTCTTCCTTGTCTGACAGACCAATTTTTGTTCACGCTTCGTTGGTGACGAAATTCATCGAAATATACTGGTAACCAAGTAGCGCTGAATAACCTCAATTTTTGATTTCGTGCCTGTTAATGTCTCTTCCTCTGCAGAGTCAAGCATAACTTCCAAATGCTGCAAACTCTTCTCCATTTTGCAACCCTGGTGGTGGCCTTCGAGGTCACTACTGATGGTTATCGCGTATTCTTACGTTGTCCCCAACTTGTCGGTGGACTCTGGAGTCTGGTGGTTCGCATTTCGGTGATGTTGCCTTGACTTCTACTGTCTCCTACTCGATGCGACCCTGTTTTCCCGGATGACCCGTTCATCAATCTTTCTTAACTCACCACCATAATGCTATATTATTTTACCCGTGAAAATAAGCGTCCCGAACCGTCAACAGCAGGATGCCAGCTAACTGCATCCTGTCATACTATGTGACCTATTAAGGAAGATTTTGCTCCTACATTTTTTTAGAAATCTGTGGCTCGCCGAACTCAGCCACCGATGTAGGAGATTTTTTACTGCCCAGACTATTATTTTATAAGATAGTTCGTTGTTAGTCTGATCTAACTTACCCTCTTACCACGCGTAACGTACTACTAATTCCTGTTATTATACAGTTGCTTACGCGCAGCTGTGCTTACCAATTTTGTATTTTTTTATTTTTACGATAGAACTAACTTTGTAATGAAAGGACCCCTTGGGCCTTAAATATGCAATTATTATTATCAAACAGGTATGGCGACTAAGCGTTTTTGAACCATCACCAGACAGCAGCGCATACTCAGATCTTGTGAAATGGTCATAAGCGAAATCTAGTAAGTTACTGGGTCCCCTTTGAACAAGCAGTCCCGATTTGCGGACGTCAGAAAATTCTTCATCGAACTAATATCTGCTTTCTATGTATTCCGCCGGTCTTTCGTTTTCTTCGGACGTTAAGACTAAAGTAAGTAATCCCACTTATTCTTACCGAGTGGGGCGCTTGAATGCACTTATTCACTGCGAGAGGAATCTTTCGTAAAACGTAGGTCCAAGCAACTAGCTCGCTAGTTTTGGAAATGCCTGTTCCTCAGGGCGCTCAGTTATCTTCCTATAAGACTGAAATTTTACACGAAAGCTTAATTATTTACCATACTGAAAGCAAAGGTAATAGCTCAGTTCAAATACTGACGCCACTTTACGGACGAAGCCTGAGAAGATACGCAATATAGTATTGACTCCGAGTTCTCGCGTGATTCTGAAATTAAAGAAACCAGCTGGGATGACCTGTTTAATGCTCAAAGTAAGTAACTGCTATGCTTCATTCGTGTAGACTGAAAATTTGAACAGAACGGAATTGAATTGAACGATAAAATTGAACAATGGTCATTCTAATCCATGTTTTTCGGCTAGTTCCATGCCCTCAGTAGTCTTTCCTAACTTTTCGTTGTACTTTTTCACGGGTGACCATAAACTATGATGCGATTCTGCACGTCCTTTTGCGGCACATTCTTTTGGGCTTCTTGGGGCGTTTTTATGTGCACGCTTAACGAATTGCATCTCGGCGACCTATAACGACTGAATTATTCAGTTTTTCTAATCAAGAATATATTTTAGGAAGTTGTGCTTTCTGTCCCACTTAGTTTGGAAATTTACAGGCTCACTAGCCAATCCCTACTCACCGAAATCTAAGACTTCATTATTTGTATTAGCTGTATTTATCTCGATGGAATTAATTGTCGGAGGCATCCAATCAAAGCCTCATCTTTCCCACTTTGCCGCGTGCGCAACGGTGGTGTCATTTTTAAATTGCATTTCTGACTTATATTTGTAGAGTGTTTAAATTCATGTTAAACTGAAGACCTTTTCAATTGTTACTGTTTAATTCTTATATCAGAGCCAAAAGTGGGCTGTCGGTTAGCACTTCCCTCACACCTCGGCCGATAGACACAATTGGGGGCGTCGCCCCAAAACTGTGGTCTTCCTATTCTTGCCAAGTCTGACGGTCTTTGGTAGATACATATGCTTAACACCGTATAAGCGATTTTCACCAGTGTCTGACTTGATCCAACAAATTGCGTCTCTGCATTGCATGCAGTGCAGGAAGAGGGAGTTGGTGCAATGGAGCATTGTAATGCTGATTGATCGTCATCAATCGACCAGCTGGTCGTGACTACCAGGAGAGCATGCATCGTGGGAAAGGCGCAGTTTTCTCCGATAACGGCGTCACCCTGCGCGCACTATGAGGCGATAAGGAATGGATGTGAGGCGACCAGAGGTTTCGTCCACGGTCCTGCCTGTTCTCTACAGCACAGCCACGGCATCGTTTTGTCACTGCCAAGACTCTGATTGGTAGAGAGGCTTTTACTACTCAAGTAAGCCGTGTCGTGTTGAATAGTTAATACGATTCAGGTTGGGTCTGCAGGAACTACTGACAAGGGAGTCAGTCGTTTATAAAACTAGCTGCAGGCTAAGGGAGGTCATTTGTAAACTGAGTTTTGATGGACTATATTGAGGTCCGCAGGATAAGGCATCTTTCAGCATTTTCATTTTAAATTAAGTTCAGGAAGTGGTGTTGGCAATGGTTTGAATGTAGCGTTTACCCTTTTTCTTCGCCATGATTACTTGACTTGTAAAGTGCGTTTATTTTTGTAATCTACTCTGAACGTACTTTATAACAGTTTCAATTTATTTTCCTATTTACACGCTATTATCGATTTTACCGTCAGAATATTTTGCACTGTATTGTTATTCGAAAGTGGTAAATGAGCCGTTTCGGGTTGTCAACACTTCTCCATTACCCATTGCTCGCCGCTATCTGACCGCTTTCGGTTGGAGATTTCAAGGCAAAATAGCTATGCTCACTCCCGATCTACGATTAGAATATATTGGCGAGCGCCACCCGCACGTAATTTGGATGTTACGGCATGTTGTCTGTCGCCCGCCAACGTATGGACTAGGGCCCCACCGATAGGCTAAGCGGAAATGGGGACCGCGTCTTCACTGTTTCCCCCAATCTCAAGCAACATAGTTCATATCACATCTTCGCGAGGGTATGACTGCAAATGTGCTTCAAGGCAATACCCAAAGTTCGCTGTTCACAGACTTCTGTCCGAGAAAGCAGTCTTCCCGAGGCGTTTCTAACAGCCTTGCCTTGCATGGATGAGTAATATCTGCTATCCAGTCACGCCTCTGGAAATGCAACGGATTAGACATTTGAACCGGGTCCGAAGCATTATGTTCCATCGTCGATCGGGGACCCATCATTTTGGGGAAGGAATAGAAGATGGTTGTTTTCTGAGTTATATACTTCACAGATGTTGCAGTGAACTTATACTTGACGCTATATTTTCGGTTTTTACCCAGGCTAGCAGCGCCGTCGTGATGGCCAATTATAATTATAGATATACTTTGATATATAGATCGTTGTGTTCGTAAATGTAATTTAAAATGGATAACGATCACTAAGGGATTAAAATTATCGCAGGTGTTTATAACGCTGGCTAACTAGGCCATAGACTCTAAAGCTGTCTGAATTATAATTGGTGCCAATCGCCGTATGCAGAAACAAACCCGAATAAACCCTATCTTCTTCAAATCACTTGTTGTGCGGGTCAACAGTGCCTCTTTCCTGTTTCTTCTGAATTCCGCTATCAGTCATATTCTGCAAATGCTTATCGATGTTCACTTGTGGTTCGGACGGACCTCCCAGATCGCAGACCAACCGACAAAGCTCGATGGTGATGCCGTATTTATAATGAACTAAACGAGTCTCATGCAACTGCCCCAAAACGTTCCACATCTTCCAGAACTATTTCGCCTCATTGGCGTACTTGCTACTCTTAAGGAACCGGAATTTTCCGACCCCTTGTCGGGAATCAGCCACTAAACAGCTGGACCGAACCATTTCGTATCACTGTCCGTGCGTGAAGAGTGATAAATATAATAAGGATAGCTTTCTCTTCCCTCCCCCTATCAGCGTCCATCGTCATCATTTCCGCCAAGGAGTGGAGAATACAATTTACAACGCCTGCATCTGTTTTCTATCCTAGGTCAACTCACCTATTTGACTTCTTCATTACGGGTTTTCAGTCTTCCGTTGACTAAAGCTTCTATACTTTTCCCCTATTATGATTTTATTAACGCTTCTGTTGGTAATGACCTTCGAGTTTACAACGAATTCTATTTGATGGCTTTGCTTCTAAAATTGTTGCATTCTGCCGACTTTGCTTCATGTCTACTAAAGTGTTCATGACGTTTCGTGGGTGCGTTATGTGACATTGGCCGGTGCAGCCCCCAACGTCGGGGTTCTTGTTGTCGCGTAGCTATCCACTGTTTTATTTGTTTGTTTTTTTTAACATTTTTGTGTTTCTTCCAAATTAGGGCAATTGGTCGCCCCCAGTGAAGCTGCAGACCTGCCTCTTGTAAACTTCTTTTTTGTTCCACATGAAGAGAGGAGCCGAAAAACAACTTAACTACGAAAATTGGGATGAGCCAGAGGAGCAAGTTGACTCTGGAAAGTTTGAAAAGGCTGACCCGGAGACCCTAAAGGCACGAAAAATTTTGACGGTGCGCAGAAATTCTGCCCAACCATCTGCCAGCAAGTTGGGTATTTTCAAGTCGTTCGATGCTTTTGGTGCTGTCAAGACTACGACTCCTAACTCCTCATCGACGACTGACAACTCGGATCCAAAAACGCCAAACGACGCTTATCTAGCTAGATTGTCCGTCCTAAATAAGGAATTTTTGGCGTGGATAACCAAGCATGTGTCCGAGGACCCATACTGTATACTGACACCAATCTTTGGTGACTACGCGAAGCACCTGCAATCTATTGAAACTTCAGAGGGCGCCTCGAAAGAAAGCCCAACGTCAGTTGCTTCTTCCGACAAAGTCCCGGTGGATTTGAACAATTCCAAACCTTTCAGTTTTCAGGCTTCCGCAACTGCCGCCCCACCATCTTTGCCAGCGCCCTCCCTCCCAAATGGCGGTTTCACCTTTTCGTTCTCTCAAACCAGCACATCCAGCGAGTTGCCAAAGCCTGTATTTAGTTTCGGTTTGTCAACGGCGAAAACTACCGGTGTCACCTCAACAACACCAGCCTTCTCGTTTTCGGCGCCACCAAAGGAAGCTACCGAGGATGCAAAATCTAGCACCAATGATGCCGGTAATTTTGCCTTCAGGCTTTTCTCTTCTTGCCTTTTTTTCTGATTATTAGACTGTTGTTATTAGCTCGGTTTTCACTGTAAAAAGGGCCAGAAACGCCGCGCCCAGCGTTTTCCAAATTCTGATGACTTTTTTGGGCACAGCATGCTAAGGCCACAATGAAGTTATTTTTGCATCGACTTGTTTCATTTGTCCAAAAAGCAGGCTTTCGGATTAGTACCCTCTATATTTCCCACTGATTTATTGACTTAATTCGCTAACGAAATCACAGTGTAGGTCACCAAAACTAGCAGTGACCTAGTCAGCGTAGCTGACATCAGACAGCTGGCACCTGAAAGCCAGTTCCACACTGTTAAAAGATTGTAAGACCCTTCCGACAGTCCATTAATTGACTTAATTGAAAATAATGGGTGGCAGGATGAGAGCATTTCGAACGCTGGATGCAATATCGAACGGTTGGGAGAGATTGTTCTTTTCCAGAACTCGCTCGCACTGATGAAGTGCTAGAAGGCAATGATTTTTGCCGGCATGCTATAGCGACCGTTCGGAATCGAATGTTGCAGCCAACTCAGTGAATCAGACGGCCGTCTTTCGCCAGTACTCATGGGGGAATTCAAGTGTGTATATCTGATCGACGCACCCACGTACAGATCGAAATCCGAATTGGCTGGACCTTGTCCTCTAGTTCGCGCACTCCGTAATATCCTGAGAAGGACAAAAGCGAAAACCATTACGGCAACCTCGCCGAGATAGTTCTCGCACTTTTTCTCTCATCCTTCATCAAGGTAACCATAAGGCTCCCGTGTCCCGATCATCGGGAACAACCTCATCCCCCTACGCCTATTCAGTCAGGCAACCAGAGTGCCCACACAAGGCTTTCATCTTTCAGCGAGAATACTGTTCTTTAGGCACTTCTTATGTAGCCGCTCTACTCCACCGGTGTTTTGTTCCAGAGAATAAGAGCGGCAGGGGTGGTCAGCTGACACTGCATAGACTGGATAAAAAATGAACCAGTGCGACCTGGAAGAGTGAGGGTGTGATAGGGTTGTCATCGAACCTGAGAAAGTCGTGGTAGCGCTACCGCTTGTGCTTGGCCTTGGTGGGGGTTGTAAACAATAGAGTCACAGTTCACATTACGAACAAAGTCAGTGCAGATGGCCTACCATCAACTTGGCGGAGAATTTGGTTGTTTTCGCATTTCACCAACGTTTGAGGTCTACTCTATGAAAGCGGCCGATTCAGCTCAATATTTTTTTGGCCACTTATCGTCGTTATTCTCCGTAGTTGGCAAATTGAAGCAACATCGCGGAATCTGAACCAATTGGTATAGGTAGACAACTGCAAGATCGTTCGGTCGATCCAGTCAATATTGCGCCGCTGGACGAATGCAGACATTTTTCAGTTATCATGTAGACCGATGACCATTTGTTACTATCTCCCCCTTCGACTCGGATCATAAGGCGAGACCGGGTGCCTGTTTTCAGGACCTTGGCTCTATTTATTTTGTCGTAGTTGTCCGAAATATTACGCGGGATTATTTGTGTGCGGAAAGGACGAAAGTGAATTTAAGGGCGGGTGCGAACAAGAACATGATTTGACCCATGCGCGTTGTCAATTTCAGCACCCCACGTTGGTCTGCTATCGTTAAACCATCTACGGAATTTTGGACCGACTTGAGCATCGCCAATTTGATTGGCTGTATTGCCGTAGTTTGAATACCCGGTCAGCAGATTTAGACATTCTACCTTAATTGAGAACCAATTTCAAGGCAGCCAGTTGGGTGGCAGAAGAGTCGTCGGGTGTAATGCAGTAACTTCAGTCCCAGTTGACGATCAACTAGCTTTTTCATTTGCCGGTAGAAAACTTATTTATAGTATTGGTTAAACAGAGAGACGGTATGTAAGACAACGAACCATTGACTAGTTCCCACGCGGGTTATGAACGTTTGAAATTTTGTAAGAGAACCATCGCCACATTGTGTGTCCGAGAGGAGTTTGG